TTCAACGCCAGTAAATGTAAAGTTATGTAAATGGGATCAGGTGTAGACGACCAAAGGGACAGTACACAATGAAGGGGAACTGCTTACCTTTAACGATTCGAGAAAGAGACCTGGGAGTGGATGTGACAACTAATCTAACTCCTGAGGCACATATAAATAGGATAACGACAGCAGTGCACTCTACACTGGCGAAAATTAGAACTTCATTCAGAAACCTAAGTGAGGAGGCTTTAGGGCGCTTTACACTGCCTGCGTGAGACAAGTCTAAGAGTATGCCGCACCATCAAGGAGCCCCCACCTGAAGAAACACATAAGGAAACTGGAGAAGGTTCAGAGGTTTGCGACGAGGCTTGTCCCAGAGTTACGAGGGATGGGATATGAAGAACGTCTGAGGGAACTGAACCTTACGACACTAGAGAAAAGAAGGGAGAGAGGAGATATGATAGGAACATATAAAATACTCAGGGGACTTGACAAAGTGGAAATAGATGAAATGTTCACACATAATAATAACAGAACGAGGGGACATGGGTGGAAACTGGAAACTCTGATAAGTCACAGAGATGTTAGGAAGTTTTCTTTTAGCGTGAGAGTAGTGGAAAAATGGAATGCACTTGGGGAACAGGCTGTGGAAGCAAACTCTATTCATACTTTTAAAATTAGGTATGATAGGGAAATGGGACAGGAGTCATTGCTGTAAACAACCGATGGCTGCAAAGGCGGGATCCAAGAGCCAATGCTCGATTCTGCAAGCACAAATAGGTGAGTACACACTCACCCTCAAACAATTATCGCAGAACCACCCACACACACATTAAAGAATTGTGCTTAAATTAAATTGAAAAAGTTTTGAAACGTTTGCTAAAAGGTCTTCGATTTGATTGACTGAAATTAACGTCTTTTTATATTAAAAATACGAATTTATATAAATAGTCACCTTTCTGCGACCAAGTAAAAATGTCTAAAAATGTTTTGAGTTTTCTGGAAACACACCGAAAACCTGGGTAAACCTCTCAGTGATATAAAGTGAGACGCTGCATAAATCTCTCAGAATATATGCACTGAGAATCTTGGTACACCTCTCAGTAAATATGCCCTGAGAAACTGGGTTCAACTCTAAGCGTATATACACCCAAAAGCTGGGTATACTTCTCAGTTTATATCCACCAAAAATCTGAGTACACCTTTCAGTGTATATACACCTAAAAACTGGGCACACCTTTCAGTATATATGCACCGAAAATATGGATACACCTATTAATGTATGTACACCGAGAAGATAAATGCACCTCTCAGTAATTATCCACCCAAAAGCTAGGGTACACCTCTCAGTGCATTTACACTGAGAAGATTGGTATACCTTTCAGTATGTATGCACGGAAACATTGATATCCTTTTCAGTATGTATACACCGAGAAGCTGGGGTACAACTATCAGCGTATGTACACCGAAAACCTGGGTACACCTCTCCGTGTATATTCTCCGAGCAGCTGGGTACAACTCTAAGTGTAAATATACACAGAAAAGCCCGGTACACTTCTCAGTTTATGTGCACAGAGAAGTCGGGCATACCTCTCAGTGTATATATACACCGAAAAGCTGGGTACACCTCTAAGTGTATTTACTCCGAGAAGCGGTTACAGCTCTCAGTGTATATACACTCAGAGGCGGGTACAACTCTCAGTGTATACACCCAGAGGCGGGTGCAACTCTCAGTGTATACACCCAGAGGCGGGTGCAACTCTCAATGTATACACCCAGAGGCGGGTACAACTCTCAGTGTATACACCCAGAGGCGGGTACAACTCTCAGTGTATACACCCAGAGGCGGGTACATCTCTCAGTGTATACACCCAGAGGCGGGTACAACTCTCAGTGTATACACCCAGAGGCGGGTACAACTCTCAGTGTATACACCCAGAGGCGGGTACAACTCTCAGTGTATACACCCAGAGGCGGGTACATCTCTCAGTGTATACACCCAGAGGCGGGTACAACTCTCAGTGTATACACCCAGAGGCGGGTACATATCTCAGTGTATACAACCAGAGGCGGTTACAGCTCTCAGTGTATATACACCCAGAAGACGGGCACAGGTCGTGTTAGTCCTAATAGCTCCATCACGCTAATCTCCAGAGTATTGACAGACTAAGGGGCATCAGTTCCAAATATGCCAAAAAATACAATAAATGAAAACTGGTTCGATTTCAATCAAATTTTTTGATGAGTTGTATATGAAAAGGGTTTCATCGGGTCCAAAATCTCAGCATCGTAGCATAAATAGGAAGGGAGAAAAAAATATTGAATTATGTGTCAAAAAATTTCCGAAATTGTAAAAAACGATTATCAAACACAAGTGCCAACTGAAATCATGTCTATGACTCTCAGCTATCATAATAGCATATATTAAACAAAAATTATAATTAGTTTTATTAAAAAAATTCAGTTAAATATTTTTATTTTTGTTCAGTTTTATTTTTCTTATTTGTTTATTGGACGATTTGCATGAAACTTATACACCTGACTGCACGTAAGCCTATCTGTAATGGTGCCAATTTTTGAGGAAATTGGTTATGTCAACCTCAGCCACAGATGGTAGCACCTTAGACTTTAATATTTTAATGATTTGTTTTCAATTAACATAAACGAGTTGCTACTCTTTCATTTGTATTCAATTTACATGAAACTTGCATCTTATATGTAAAGTTTATGTCTCTAAAATCCGGGGCCAGCGTTGTTTCCTATGTTCATTTATTGATTTTATAATAACAATAAATATAATATATTTGCATAATTTTTGAGGGGTGAACTTTGACTAATTGTATTAGTAAAACTAAACATGTTTTGGAAAATCCGCAGCATCAGATCCTTTTATAATATGTTAATGTGTCAGAAAAGTGTCATAGAATGATTATATCTGAAGCGTGTGGTTGTAGCAACTCACTTGCAAATGTGTAATATTTGTTGAAGAAAAATCAATCTCCCTTTCTATTTAGGCTGCAGTACTGAAACTTGGAACAATTGCAGCCCTTTCCATATACAACTAGTCAAAAAATATTGGTTGGCATTGAATAACTTTTAATTGAACAACATCTTATGGCCCCTACTAAGCCAGTCATATAGTGTAGAAATATATTTGTTTGGGTGACAATTGGAGACGTTACACCTCAGGACGAGGGTGAACCCTCGACACTTACCTGAAGGGGTTGGCTATATGAAAATTAAAAGTTGTTGTAGGGCATTGAAATTTATTATCCTGATACATGTGAAAGGTGCTGCAACTGGGCCAAGTTTCAGCATCGCAGCCTAAATAGAGAGGGAGAAAAAAAATAAAAAAGTTTTTTTAGACAATTTTTCAACAATGTTCAAATCATTTCACAGCCCACAATTGTGAACCGAAATCAGTTCTATGACACTTAGCTATGACCTTACAATATAATAGAGATTTGTCTGATGGATTTTTATCCCAGATGTATTTAGTGCAATAATACAGATTTTTGTAAATTTCCCAAAAATCCTATGCAACAATATGATATTTATAAATATTTATAAAATCAATAAATCTACGTAGAAAGAAAAGCCACCACAATGTTTTAGAAGCATAAACTCTACATATAATGTGCAAGTTTCATGTAAATTGAATAATAAATAAAGTCTGTGAAATCAGATAAAATTGTAAAATATTTACCTGCACAAACGAAGGTCAAAGTTCAGCTACCTTTAGCTGAGGTTGATGTTGACCAATATCATTCAAAATTTGCACCCTTGTAGATAGGCATGGGTTCAGTAAGGTGTGCAAGTTCCATGCAGATCGTCTGATAAATAAAAAAAAAAAAATAAAAAAAAAATAAAAAAAAAAAATTATATATTTGCCACCAGTTTTATATGTACAAATATTTATGAAGTAATATCACAATATAACACTAAAACATACTAACCTAATATAATTGGTCAGAAATATGGGTCCTCAAGATGGCACTGGAGTGGCACTAGTAGGCACCTGCGCCATAGCTGGGGTCCGCTCCCTCAGGGGCCTTTCTTGGTTTGGTTGTGCGTCTCGTTGGTCTCTGCATATCCTTGTCCTTTTTGTTCAAGTACCAGTCCAGTTAGATTTGGAGTAGCAGGTGCAAGACCTGGAGTAGAAGGTGGAAAATGTGCGGTAGCAGAGGGTGGGATTGTGGGGGGGGGGGGGGGGCAGCGGGCTGCAACACTTGCGGCCGAGTGGCCGCCTCGATCTTCACTCGTCAAAGTGCGTAATCTACGGATTCTGGCCAGCTCGCACCTTCTACGGGCAGCTAGCATGCTTTCATAGTTTTCCTCATCTTCGTTTTGTACGTCATTTTGCAGTAAAAATAGCACAAATTGTGAGAGCGCGTTCACGATAGGTCCACCAGCTGAGGGACACACAGAGTGACTGACTGCTAGCCAGCAAACCCACCCCTCTCTCACACGAGACTGTTGCCAATGAGTGAGTTTATATTCGTTTTATGCATAACACGTTATTTTCCACGCTATTACGAAATATTAGACTTCTACAACGTAAGACACAACACCCTACGGCGCACCCAGGCCGCGAGAACCGGATTCACGAAAGTTGCAGCGGGAAATTTGACTCTAATTACGTTGTTTTTCAAGATAACATAAAAACGGTTTGCACCACAGTGTTGCCAGAACGTTGTAGTATTTTTCAGAATTTTTCGTAAACTTTCGAAATTTTTCGGATTTGAGCATAGATGTCCCCTGAAGGATCGTCCTCCACTCACTAAACATCGCAAGTCAGGTAAAGTAGTTGTTAGGAGTAAGCAATATGCTGGTGTGATTATGTAGCACTTGGAAGTGTAATGAAAAAGACTAAGAACTGGGACAGAACCTCAAGAGTCAGTTCTTCCATTATGATGAGAAATGAGAACCCCCCCCCCTCCCTCACCTGATGGGAACGTCCTCAGCTCGGTAAGACTCGATGATGACTCTACCTTCACAAGAAGAGCTTCGACACTCACCTGAAGGGAACGTCCTCGACTTGGTCAGATTCAAGGATGAGACCCTCCTTCTTGAGGTTACTCTCGAAAACTTTCCGACGATCACTGTGGTCCTGGTTCATGTCGTCGTGTTTATTTGCCAAGACGTAGTCAATAGTCCTGCTACCATCACTCAGGAGCAGGTCGTCCTTAGCCCCCACCTGCAATATGGACCGAGACGTAGCCAATAATTATGCTCAGGTGCATGCAAGTACATGTAGGCATCAATAAGTCTTAGGAGACTATGGAATTGTGTTCTGGTTGTGACCACGCCACCCCCTGGCGCATCCTCTCCAGGGCGCAAAGCCAGGGTAGGTATATATGTGGGAGAAGATGTTTCTCTTACTCATTCAGGAGTAACTCCGATAAATATGCACAAGAAAACGGGACCTCCAAAAGCTACGTGAACTCCATCAGTCATATTTTCATAAACAATTAACAAAAAATTCACCAAAAGCTAGCAAACCCATTACTTACTTTTGTCTTCATTTCGAAGTTAAGATCATCCATACTAAATTCATCAGCGAAGACCGAATCTGATTCGCTGAGGCCCGGCATAATGAATACACGTTTCTTGTTACTGATGACCTATGGCTGACGACGCTCCTCAGATCACATGTACCTTGGCTCCCCTTTATTTTAGGTCACTTTAACCATATACAGGACCCAGTAGTGTACCTGGAAGAATAATAGTCATGCTAGATTGAATATTCAGGCAGAATAATAGTCATAGTGGGGAGTATGGTAAAGCTCCCCGTTATCGAGGACACAAAGTCAATACTTAGAGGCTAAAAGAAGTTCCTTCCCCCCCCCCAATCCCGTCACCATAGGCAAACTACATACATTGCCCTGGATGCAACCCACAACAGTTGCCTATCTCCCTATCTATCTTGAGGTTATCGTGAGATGATTTAGGGGCTTAGCGTCCCCGCGGCCCGGTCCTCGACCAGGCCTCGTTTTTGCTAAGGGGAAGCAGCCTGTAGCTGCTGTCTAACTCCTACGTACCTATTTACTGCTAGCTAACAGGGGCATCAGGGTGAAAGAAACATTTTGCCCATTTGTCTCCGCCTCCACCGGGGATCGAACCCGGAACCTCAGGACTACGAATCCGAAGCGCTGTCCACCCAGCTGTCAGGCGCCCTAATACCTATTTTACTGCTAGATGAACAGAGATATTAAGTGACCCTGCAATAACTCTCACACCCTTTCACAAACTCACACAACCTCCCACATCCCACATACACTCTCTCACACCCTCACACACTATCATACACCCTTACACACCCTCACACACCTTCATACATCCACACACACCCTCATACACCCACTCACACTCTCACACAGCCTCACACACCCTCATACACCCACTCACACTCTCACACAGCCTCACACACCCTCATACACCACCATACACTATTACACACCCTCTCACACCCTCACTTACCTTCATAGAACCTCACAAACGTTCACACACCCCTCACACATCTTCACACACCCTCTCACACCCTCTCACGACCTCACACACCCCATCACACACTCTGTCACGCCCTCTCACACCCTCACACACACACTCTCTCACCCCCTCACACACACCCTTCCAAAGAGCCAGAGCTCAACCACCCACAAGCACTCCTAGGTGAGTACACCTAGATCAGTACACACCCTAACACACTTAACACACTCCATCTCACACACCACCAGACACACATACACCCTCACACACCCTCATTCATCCTCTCACACCTCTCACACATCCTCACACAGCCTCTCACACCTTTACACCCTTTCCTTGCTCCCCACCACTTACGCAATATTCCGCTGAGACCCTGTTAACCATCTCACAAATTCCCTCCCCATCCCACTGATCTCCCTGAACCCACCCCCCCCCACCCCAGACCTCTCTGCATTCCCCATCCCATGACTACCCCCCCCCCCTCCCTTCCATCACATGCACCCTTGCTCTCCCCATCCCATGCCCTAATTGACCCCCCAACACCAGACCCTCTCATCCATACCATTCCAGACCATCTCAGCCCCCCCTGTACCAGGTCCTCTAAACCCCCTCACACCCCAGGTATCCCAGGTACCCCTTCTGGACCCCATTGTCCCCCAACTCCAGTGGAATCATCAGAAACTGAGGATCGACAGAAGAGAGTCAGCGTCAAGGTTATGTACTCAAACATAGATGGGATCACAAGCAAGGCAAGTGAACCTAGGGAAAGGGCACAAGAAGTGAACCTAGATGTAATTGGACACAGAAACCAAACTCTCAGGAATGATTACGAATGCAGTGTTTCCCCAGGACTACACATGCAGGTCGGCATTCAATCCCAGACTGTCCAAGTGGTTGGGCACCATTCTTTTCCCCCTGTCCCATCCCAAATCCTGACCTTCCCAGTGCTATATAGTCGTAATGGCTTGGCACTTTCCCGCTGATAAATCTTTCCCTTCCCAGGACTACACTGTAATCAGGAAAGAGAGGGAAGGAAGGGGAGGAAGTAGAGTGGCCATACTTATGAGATAGGAATGAAGTTTCGAGGAGATGGTTATTCGAGGCTGCGAGGGGTTCAGTGACTTCATAACAGGCTCCATGACGATGGGAGGACCAGGAGTAGTAGTAGCAGTGGTATATAACCCACCACTAAATGACAGAAGACCCAAGCAAGTGTATGATGGAAACAACATGGCAGTTAACACTATAATTAAGAGAACAGCTGCTGCTGCCTGAAGAAATCGATCCCATCTGCTCATCATGGGGGGGACTTCAATCACAGAAAGATAGACTGGGAGAACAAGGAACCCTATGGAGGAGAGGAAACATGGAGAGCTAAACTGTTGGAAGTGGCGACAAGAAACCTTTTAAGTCAGCATGTCTGGGGACCCACAAGAATGAGAAGTAATGATGAATCAGCGAGACTCGACTTAGTCTTCACTCTGAACGACTCAGACATAAGGAAAACCCGGTTTCCAAGCCCCTGTGGAAATGAGTGATCACAGTGTACTGAGTACCTAGTCGAAGTACGGTTAAGGTTCTCAAGGATGGTCCCAGAAAACAAAAGGCCAGCATTCCGGAAGGGAAACTATGAGGAGATAAGAAAATTCCTAACAGATATAGCTTGGGAAACTGAGCTCAGAAGAAAGACAGCCCATGTCATGATGGACCTCATTGCGCATAAGGGTAAGGAGGCAGTAGATAAGATCGTTCCAGTCCTAAAAGGTAAAAAAATGAAATGCAGACGATAATAAACGTCTTGAAATGATAAACTCATGGTTTAATCAGAGATGTAAGCTATCAAAGCAACTAAGTACAAGGGCGTGGAGAAACTATGGAAATAACAGGACACTAGAGAGCAGAGAAAGATACCAGAGCGCCAGGATTGAATATGTCAGGGTGAGAGAGAGGCAGAGCGACACTATGAAATGACGTAGTGAGCAAAGCAAAGACTGAACCTAAATTGATGCACAGCCACATCAGGAAAAAAACAACAGTGAATGAACAGGTAATGAAATTGAGGATAGGGGCAGACAGAGTCACTGCAAACGACAAGGAAGTGTGCGAAGAACTCAATAAGAAATTCCAGGAGGTCTTCACAATAGAGCAAGAAGAAATCCCAGAAATAAGCGAGGGAATATCTAGCCAGACACCACTAGAGGAGTTTGTCATTACCAGTGGGAAGGTGAGGAAGCATCTGCTAGATCTGGATGTGACAAAGGCTATAGGCCCAGATGGAATCTAACCATGGATACTAAAAGAAGGAGCAGAGCTCTGTCCCTACCACTATCCATGGTGTACAACAAATCACTGGTAACAGGTGAGCTGCCAAAAATTTGGAAGACGGCCAATGTAGTCCCAATATACAAGATCTGAGCTAGACAGGAGGCACTGAACTACAGACCAATGTTCCTAACTTGTATACCATGCAAGATGGTAGAGAAGATTGTGCGAAAAAAATAGTGGAACATCTGGAGCGAAAGAACTCTGTAACACAACATCTGCATGGGTTCAGGGATGGCAAATCATGACTCACAGAATTAATTGAATTCTATGACCAGGCAACACAAATCAGGCAAGATAGAGAGGGCTGGGCAAACTGCATATTTTTGGATTGCCAGAAAGACTTTGATACAGTACCACATAAGAGACTAGTTCACAAGCTGGAGTTTCAAGCGGGAGTGAAAGGAAAGGTACTCCACTGGATAAGGGAGTATCTAAGCAACAGAAGACTGAGAGTCACTGTGATAGTGAACGTATCGAAGTGTAGAGGTGTCACCAGTGGAGTCCCACAGAGATCATTCTTAGAACCAATATTGTTTCTGATATATGTAAATGATATACCAGAGGGAATAAATTCGTTCCTCTCAATGCTTGCTGATGATGCAAAAATTATGAGGAGGTTTAAGACAAAAGAAGATAGTATAAGGCTACAAGATGACCTTTTCAAACTGAATGAATGGTCCGACATCGGGTTTCTAAAGTTCACACCAAGTAAATGTAAGGTGATGAAACTTTAGGCGTAGGAAATAGGAAGTCAGACGCTGGGTAACGAATGGGAGAAGAAGTTCTTCACGAAACGGACATAGAAAAAGATCTAGGAGTTGATATCACGCCAAACCTGTCTTTTGAAGCCCTCATCAAAAGAATAACATCGGTGGCGTATGCGAGGCTGGCTAACATCAAAACTGCTTTTAGAAATCTGTGTAAGGAATCCTTCAGAAGCTAGGCCATACCTTGTCAAGCACACGACGAATCTGGAAAAAGTTCAGAGGTACGCCACTAGGCTAGTCCCAGAACTAAGAGGAATGAATTATGAGGAAAGGCTGGGTGAACTGCACCTCACGTCGCTGAAAGACAGAAGAGCTCGGGAAGACATGATCACCTCATAAACATTTCTGAAGGGAATTGACAAGGTAGACATAGATGGATTATTTAACACGAGTGGTACACACACAAGGTGACACAGGTGGAAGCTGAGTACCCAAATGAGCCACAGAGGCATTAGACAGAACTTTTTTTGTGTCAAAGTAGGTAGTAAGTGAAATGTACTAAGAAATGATGTGATGGAGGCTGACTCCATACAAAGTTTCAAATGTAGATACGATAGAGTTCGAGAAGCTCAGGAATCTGTATTCCAGTTGACTGATAGTAAAGAGGCAGGACCAAAGAGCCTAAGCTCTACCCCCTCAAGCACAACTAGGTGAGTACACGAACACAAATACACAGAAATATACATATACACACACACACTCATAAATAAACATACACACCCTCACGCACACCCTCACACACCCTCACGCACACCCTCATACACCCTCACGCACACCCTCACACACCCTCACGCACACCCTCACACACCCTCACTCCCTCACACATTCTCGTATACCCTCTCACACCCTCTCACACCTCTTTCACCAGTTGATTGACAGTTGAGGGGTAGAACCAAAGAGCCAAAGCTCATTGCCCGCCTGCAGAATGATTGACTGAAATTAACGTATTTTATACGTTGATAAGACGACTTTATATAAATAGGGACAGTGTCACATCTGCAAATAAAACGTCAGAAAAGATTTTGTGTTTGCTGGGCAGCAAGGTGTCAATGGTCACCGAGCCAATAAATGTTGTGACAATGGTCATCTTCTTGAGGTTATCTTGAGATGATTTCGGGGCTTTAGCGTCCCCG